GGGTGGTGTAGAGATGGACCTCTCTGCCCTGGGAGTCCCAGATACGGCTCACATCATCCGCTGCTCACAACGGGAGTCTCATCACACCCTCCAGGGCCACTTGCTGGAACAGCCAGAACAGGGAAATGGTGCCAGGACTGATCCCAGAGTTGTTTCTTAAAAGCTTTTGTTGTGATTACGAAACACAAGATAGAATCAGCCCTTGAAATGGGCACTACGGAGCACAGGAGTCATTGTTCCCCTGTGAGATCAAGTGCCCAGGTACTCTTCTGGGCTAACAGGTGCAGAGCTCACCTTGCCAAAAGGATCACAGTGAGGAACTGGCACCTTGGCACACAAAACTCAGCCTGAGAAGGTGGGTGGACACACAGGTGAGAAATGGGGAGCAAATGCTCCAAACCTCCATTGTGGGGAGATTCTCTGGCCTATTTACCTTGGTGAGCAGTTGCTCCCCCCCCCAAGTGCAACTGCTGGACTCCAGAGTGCCCACTTTCCAGAGAGAATTTGACCACCCTTTTCCAAGTAGGCGGGACGCGGGTGGTGCTGTGGGTTAAACCACAGAGCCTAGGAATTGCCAATCAGATGGTCGGCGGTTTGAATCCCCGCGAAGGGGTGAGCTCCCGTTGCTCGGTCCCAGCTCCTGCCAACCTAGCAGTTCAAAAGCACCTCATAGTGCAAGCAGATAAATAAGTACCGCACTAGTGGGAAGGTAAACGGCGTTTCCCTGTGCTGCTCTGGTTCGCCAGAAGCGGCTTAGTCATGCTGGCCACATGACCTGGAAGCTGTACGCCGGCTCCCTCAGCAAATAAAGCGAGATGAGCGCAGCAACCCCAAAGTCGGTCATGACTGGACCTAATGGTCAGGGGTCCCTTGGCCTTTACCCTTTCCAAGTAGGCAGCCTTGCCAATTGTGTGCAGCACCTAAAAACTTTGCCATGTTGTCTTTGTACCACAGGGTTGGGGTTAGAGTTAGGGCCAGGTGAAGCGGCCTCCTGAACCCCGTGTCTGACATTGTGTGTGGTTTGCACCCGAGAACGAGACGCAGGGCATATGGCCTCTGGCTGGGACGTGGGCAGAGCGCTCCTCGCTGGGTGCAGAGCGCCCATTCCCAAGCCCAGACTGAAGCCATTTTACGGCGCCTGAGAAGACCTTTCTCTGGGGCCGTGAGGACAATTGCCTCTGTCAGGCGAAATGGCCGAGTGTCAGCAGCGGGTGAAGGGCAGCCGTAAATCTCCCACAGGCAGCCCTGTCCCAGCGCTTGTGGCTTAATGGGGTGGAACAGGCAGGCCTTGGCTTGGAAGGAGCCTCAGGGTGGGGGGGTGAGGGGCTGGCATTGCCAAGGGAGAGGCTGCAGCAAAGGGGGCATGGGCCTCCACATGGCTCCTGCATTGCGTGGCCTTTCTAGGAATGTATTTTCCAGGCCGGAAGAGAGACACCTATCTACATAAGGGGATGTGTATGTATATTTATGTGCATAGGCACCAATTGTTCAAAATTGGGAAAGGAGTACGGCAAGGCTGTATATTGTCTCCCTGCTTATTTAACTTATATGCAGAATTCATCATGCTAAAGGCTGGGCTGAATGAATCCCAAGCCGGAATTAAGATCACGGGAAGAAATATCAACAACCTCAGATATACAGAGGACACAACCTTGATGGCAGAAAGTGAGGAGGAATTAAAGAACCTTTTAATGAGGGTGAAAGAGGAGAGCGCAAAATATGGTCTGAAGCTCAACATCAAAAAAACGAAGATCATGGCCACTGGGCCCATCACCTCCTGGCAAATAGAAGGGGAAGAAATGGAGGCAGTGAGAGATTTTACTTTCTTGGGCTCCATGATCACTGCAGATGGTGACAGCAGTCAGGAAATTACTTTGGCCACCACATGAGAAGAGAAGACTCCCTGGAAAAGACCCTGATGCTGGGAAAGATGGAGGGCGCAAGGAGAAGGGGACGACAGAGGAGGAGATGGTGGGACAGTGTTCTCGAAGCTACCAGCATGAGTTTGACCAAACTGCGGGAGGCAGTGGAAGACAGGAGTGCCTGGCGTGCTCTGGTCCAGGGGGTCACAAAGAGGCGGACACGACTAAACGACTGAACAACAACAAACAACAGGCACCAATTGAGAAATAATTGCTGTAATTTAAATAGAAATACAGTGTAGCTCAACACAGTGGGGTTGACACCAGGCCACTTCTCTGCTCCCTGAGCCTCCCCCGCTCTCCCCCTTTTATGGTTCCTTGTCTTTAAATTGGATTTAGATTGGACAACCTGTGAGCTGTAGAAGTTTGGGGAAGGGCCATAGCTGAGAGGTAGAGCACCTGCTTTGGGTGCAGAATGTCCCAGGTGCAGTACCTGCTTGGCAGCATCTCCATGAGGGGCTGTGAGAGGCTCCTGTCTCGAATCCCAGAGAGGCATTGCTGCCAGCCAGTGTAGACATCACTGCGCAAGTAGACCAATGGTCTGATTCTGCTAAGGCAGCTTCCCATCAGGGCCAGATTTAGGCTTCATGAGGCCCTCAGTTCCTGAAGGTAATGGGGCCCTTTTACATGTCCAGCTGTCCTTTGTCAACAACAAATTGGTCGCTGTTTTTTGTGCTGAATATATGCTATATGGTCATTTATGGACGTCATAGGTATCTCAAGCCATTTGCACATATCAAAATATGTATTTTATCAAAGTAATTGTTGAACTGAAATACAATTTTAGGGAGCAGGCTAGCAGGCCAGGCCCATTACTTATATATTGTGGGGACCCAGGTAAGCCCCACCCTGCATAATTGATCACATGACATTGATGTGCGCACACACCATGTGAATGGGAATGCACACCCACTTTGTGGGGGCCCAGCCCCCTCAAATATTTTATTGTGGGGGCCGAAGCCCCCACAGCCCCCGGTAGTTGGCCCCTATGCCTCGCTGCATCTCAGGCACAGGGATTCTTCAGAAGGTTCCTTCCTTCGCCTGCTCCAGCTCCACCCCACCCACCGCCATGGCTCTCAACAGCACATTTATTGACTTAGAATCAGAGACTTGTCTAACAGAACTGTTAGAACCCAAAACTAAGACTTTGTCAAGGATGTATAACTTGCTGTTGAAATGGAATACTCAGGATGAAACGGTGAAATCTGCTATGATTAAATGGGCACAAGATGTTGGACACAATATTATGTTTGCTGACTGGGAACAGTTATGGACCACAGGTATGAAGTTTACGGCATGCAATGCCCTAAGAGAGAATATTATGAAAATGATATACAGGTGGTACATGACCCCAGTCAAGCTTGCAAAAATCTATCACTTGCTCGATAATAAATGTTGGAAATGTAAAGAAACTGAAGGTACATTCTTTCACCTTTGGTGGACGTGCCCAAGGATTAAGGCTTTCTGGGAGACGATATATAATGAATTGAAAAAGGTATTTAAATATACCTTCTTGAAGAAACCAGAGGCCTTTCTCCTGGGCATGGTCGGCCAATCGGTGTTAAAGAAGGATAGAACTTTCTTTATATACGCTACAACAGCAGCGAGAATACTTATCGCAAAGTATTGGAAGACACAAGATCTACCCACCTTGGAAGAGTGGCAGACGAAGGTGATGGACTACATGGAACTGGCGGAAATGACTGGCAGAATCCGAGACCAGGGAGAAGAGTCAGTGGAAGAAGACTGGAAGAAATTTAAAGACTATTTACAGAAATATTGCAAAATTAATGAATGTTAGAATGATGTTGGATTTAAGTTAAGTGGTTTTTAGCAGTAATGGTATAAAAGAATATGAAAAAATGGTTTTTTATAAGTAAAAATTTAATGTTATAATAACTTAAGATTAAAGATCTGGGTAGAATAAAGAGGGAAAGAAACTGCTAAGCTAATAAATTGAACTGGAATACAAAAAAGGGAGGTATGAGGAGGTCCAGGAAACAAGTTAATGGAAAATAATGTGATGAAAAAATTGATTGTTTTTAACTACTTTTATTTTGTATTTTTTCTTTTTTCTTTTTCTATTTTGTAATGTAAAAACCTTAATAAAAATTTTATTAAAAAAATATAGAATCAGAGACTTGTATAGTGGGAGGGGACCCCGAGGGTCATCTAGTCCAACCCCCTGCAATACAGGAATTGTGCATTTATTCCTTAAAATATATGTGCATACCGCTGCCTAAGAAGGTTGCAATGTTAAAAGTGCCTGGGGGAGCAGGAGAGGGGCTGGGGTGGGATCCTGACGCGGGGAAGGCGCAGGAGGCGCTGATCTCGATGAGAGCCGCGAGCGCAGAGGAGCCTCCCTGTCCCGGCGCAGTCTACCCCAGAGCAGCCCAGCGCGGGGCATTTCCTTGGTGTCGCCTCCCTCCCGCGCAGCCGTCGGGGGGGGGCAGCTCCTTCTGGCCCCCGTCTTTCTTTTTGCGGGATTGCGCTTCCTCTGCTGCCGGTGGGAAGCGGGGCGCAGGCGGGCCGGGGGGCAGCTGCATCGGGCCCCCTCGGGCTTCGGGGGGTCAGGCGGGAGGGGAGGCGGAGGGGCAGCGCGCTGGCACCGCCGGGCGACTGGGAGAGCGATGCGCCGCTGCGGGGCGCGTCCGTCCGGGGCGCTGCAGGGCGGCCGGTCCGTCGGGGCTGCGCGGCTCGTGCCCGCGCGGCGGCGGCAGGCGAGGAGTTAAGGGTGGCCCCGCCCGCGCCGCCGCGGCTCCGCCTCCGCCGGTGCCTCCGCTCGCTCCGGGGCCGCCGCAGACCAGCCGCGATCGCCGCGCCCGGAGCCCCGACGCCGCCGCCCTCGCTGCCCGCCCGCCCGCCCGCCCGCGCCCTCCGGCCCGCTGCTCCTCCCGCCCGGCCCGGCCGCCCGCCCCGCCCCGCTCCCCCCGCCGCCCCGAGGGAGCCATGTGAAGGGGGCCGGGGGTGCTGCGGGCCGCCCCGGCGATGGAGCGCGAGAAGGCGTCGGGGGCGTCGGGGGCGCGTCGCCCGGCGCTCTCTCTGCGGCTGGACGAGGCGGGCGGCGAGGGCGGCGAGGGGGCGGCGGGCGGGGGCTGGGCGGGCGGGGGGCGGCTGCGGCCCTCCTCCTACCGGGCCCTGCGCAGCGCCGTCTCCACGCTGGCGCGCATCGACGACTTCTACTGCGAGAAGATCGGCGCCGGCTTCTTCTCCGAGGTCTTCAAGGTGAGCGGGCCGCGCGGGAGGCTGGCGGGGGCCGGGGGAAATCTGACAGCCCCGTGCTGGGCGGGCGGGCGGGGCGGGGTGTCCTCCTGGTGGGGGGGCGGGCAGCACCTTCAGAGCCTGTCAAGCCCTTGGGGTCCCCAGGCTGGGGGGGGGGTCGCTGTGCCACTTGTGTCCCCCCCCCCGGCCTGCTCGGGCAGTTGGCACGCATGCCCGTGGTCTGGGCCAGGCCCTGCCATGACAGCTGGGAGGCGGGTTGTTGTCATGGGGCCTGGCATGGCGCCCTGGCACGGGGTGCTTTGTTCTTTGGAGTGGGGAGAGGGTGTCCCTTCTGGGCTCCCCCCCCCACCCCGTGCCTGTTCTCCTCTGTCAGTGTGCGAGTGGGAGGGTCCAGCTCTCTGTTGACAGCCTGGGTGAGGTGGGAGGGGACGGTGCCAGGGGGCAGGGCTGGCATTTTTCGGCCACTCTGGAGGGCACAGCTGGGGAACACTTGGAGAAGCGGCACCCCCTCTATGAGAGTGACCATGTGGGTGCTGCCCTCTAGCCCCAGATGTGGAGGCTGGGGTGCCCTGGGGAAGAGAGGAGGCGGCCAGCCACTTGGGGCAGCATGCATGAGGCCCGGGTGAGCTGGGCAAGGATTTTGAGGGGGCCAGAAGGTTGAGGCCCCCACGAGAGACAGGAAGGCAGGCTTGGAACAGGTGGTGGGTTGGTGCCCAATGGCTGGCAGCAGGAGGGCTGCCCCTCCGTGGGTCCTTTGGCTTGCAGGGAGCTCCTCTGTCCTGAGGGCAGGCAAGGCTCCCAGGGTTCACCCTCACGCTTGTGGGCCCCTGGCACAAGATAGCTGGCACAGTGCCACTGCTCGGGGGTCAAAATACCTTCCGTCCGCATCTCCCCTTCCTCGGGAACTCGTTGTGTCGCGCAGCTCAGAGCATCTGCCTGGCGTGCAGAAGGCGCAACTTCCATCCCCAGTGGCGGCATCTCCAGGAGAAAAACATGGTGAGCCAATGCTGCCAGTCAGTGCTTGCAATACTCAGCCTTGTGGACTGTTGCTCTGACTCTGTGCCTGAGCCCTTCTCTCTCAGCTGCAGCGCTGGCCTACCTCGCAGGCTCCTTGGAACATCTCCTGAGGTTGTTTGGGTGTGAAATGCTGTTGTTCTCTGAGGGGGGATCCGAAGGGGCAGAGGGTGGGCCTGGGAGAGCCAGGGGGTCTGTCCTGCCCCGGCAAAGAAGGAGAGTGGGGCAGGATGGGGAGAGGCCTGCCCCTTGGGCTGAGGATGCCCCCTCCTTGTGTTCGTAAAGTGCCAGGGTCAGGCTCCGTCCAGCGCTCCTTGAACAAGGGCTCTCCCTCTTCCAGAATAGCCAGAGTCTCTGCTGTGCCCGCTCTTCTCTGCACCCCTTTGGTGTGGCCCCACGAGGGACTAGATCAACTCTGCCTGGTAGATCCATCCCTCTGGCCCTGGGTCTCCTCCAGAGTCACCCACGAGGTTTGGGGCACAAAAAGGTCCTGGCTGACAGTTGCTGCAGCCTGGGAGCATCAAAACCCTCTCCCCATACTTTCACCCCCTTGGCAGCTGCCTGCTCGGGGCTTGTTGCTCCTGCGCTGAAGGCAAGGCAAGCTGGGTGGGGGCTGAGGGACACATCCTGACTCGGGAGTGGTGGCCCCCTGTGTTCTGGACTGGCCACGTCCCTCGCAAGAGGCCTCAATGCAGGCTGAGACCTGACCCTGAGCACCGTCCAGCCTCCTGCCAGTCAGCCCGCCCTCTGCCCATGTGCAGACTTCCAGGAGAGATTCAGGACAGGGAAAAGAAAGCCCTTCTTCACACAGGGCATCGCTGAACTGTGGAACTCACTTCCACTGGAGGCCACCAACTTGGATGGCTTTGAAAGAGGATTTAGATGAATTCAGGGAGGGGGACCCAGCTCTCAGTGGTTGCCAGCCAGGATGGCTCTGCTCTGGCTCCACGAGGGCAGCCAGTTCTGAATCCCAGTTTCTGGAAGCCCGATGAGGGGCGAGGCTCCTGGTGCTCAGATCCTGCCTGCTGGCCGAGGTGAGTCCCCTTTGGCCTGAGCCAAGGTCTTAGGGGAGCCCTCCTTGCCTGCCTGCCAATGCCACTCGCTTGCCCTGTGGCCGCTTGGGGAGGGGCACCCTTCCACTGCCAGCCCCGGTGCCCAGGAGCCCCTCCCTTTGCAGGGCCCCCCGGAGAGGCTAAGGAGGGTGCCACCCTCCCTCCCTCCCCAGGCCTCTCCTGGCCGGCTCTTTGCACTCAGCCCTGAAGGTGTCCCAGTTGTTGTTCTCCGGAGGGAGCAGTGCATGCTGGGATCCTGCCATGCCTGCTGCCGGCTGCCAGTTCTTGGCAGGACTTTGGGAAGGAGCAGAGGGAACGGCAGAGCGGCAAAGTTCCCCTTCGGTGCCCGGGCAGGGGAGGAAGTGGGAGGGCTCTCAATTAGTCCTGGCAGCTGGGCTGCGGGGAAGGGCCAAGGGGCAAGGTGCAGGCGCTCGGGAGATTGCACTCTGCACGTGTGTGTGTGGCATGCAGGATCCCAGGCAGGGCCAGTTGGGCCGGCCAGGGCTTTGCCTCGGCTCCTGAGTCATCCGGCCTGGCCTTTCCAGCTTCTCCGCTGCCAGGCAGATGCCACCCGCTTTGGGGGCCAAGGACAGAGGGAGCCACATGTGCTGCGCATTCCTCGGAACAGCCTTGCTTTGCGGACGTAGGGCAGGCGGTTCCCCCTGTGTCGGTTCTTGCCAGGGCCAGCCAAAGGCCTTTTGACCCTTGAGCTCATCTCGGCCAAGAGGGCAGGCTTGAGTGCCACTCTGTGCAAACCTGGCGCCCTGAACCCCTGGGTGTGTTTGGGCTGCCCGGAGATTCTTGCAGCTGGTCTCCCTCGGGGGATTTCGACCCAGGCTGGGCTGATCACCCCGTGGGGCTGGCGGCTTTGTGGGGTCCTGCCCTTTGCAGGGAACTGGCCCTCAGGCAGGGGAGGAGGGCAAGGGGGCAGCCCAGGAGGGTCTCCAGTCACCAGGACAGAGGCAGCAGCTGGTGCTGTTGATCCTTTGGCCTTTTCCAGCCCCAAATCCCCCAGATTCGTCCCACTGTCTCCACAAAGGCAGCTGCGGCTGAGCAAAGGCCTTGTCTGCTCCTCCTCCTCAAAAAAGGACTTATTCTCTGCAATTCCAGGAGCAGCTAAAAGCGTCACATGCAAATTAAAGCGGCAGATACAGAGGGGTGTGTGTGTGTGTGTGTGTGTGTGTGTGTGTGTGTGTGTGTTGTGTATTTTGGGGGGCGGCTGAAACTAGGAAAAGTTCTTCAGGGCTGCAAAGGCCCCATAGAAAGCCCCCTAACCAGAGACATCTCTTCCTACGCTGAGCCACAAGGCCTGTAAACTGAGAGCAGCCACTCTCCACTCCAAATGTGGAGCCACACTCGCCCTCCAAATGTCCTGGACCGCAGCCCCCACCTGATGGGATTTGTAGTCCAAAACAGCGGCAGGGCGCCCGGTTGGCAGAGGCGCTGGGTGCAGGGCACGCATTCCTCTCTTGGGCCTCTCTGAGCCAAGTGCACTTGCTCCTTGGCTGCATAATCCTGGCACTGAGGAGGGCATTCTGGGGCAGACCCCTAAGAGGAGGCTGGACTAGATGACCGCTGAGGTCCCCCTCATCCTGGGTCCCACGAGAGGCCGGCCTGACCCTGCCTGCATTGCCCTTGCCAGCCCAAGGGGGCTCTTGGGTCTGATTGGGTCCCCCCCCCCATGTCTCCTGGCACTGATCCTGAGCGCCTCCGCCTTGGCTCCTGCCGGCCAGCACTTGTTTCCCGGATCCGCCCTTCCTTCCGTCCCTCTCTGGGTCTCTCCTTGGCCCCTTGGCCCTTTCCCCACGGAGTGTGGGGGGGTGCTGGACCCCCCATGCCTGGGCTGCTCTGTGTCTCTGGGCCAGTCCCAGCTTGCTCAAGTATTTTGTAAATATTGGAAGAGATGCTCAGGAGCCCTGGCTTGTGTTTGGGGTCTGGCGGCTGCCTTGCGAGTCAGGAAGGAGCTTTTCCGCCGCTGGAATTGGCCAAGCTCCAATCCTGGGCCTTTCTTGGCCCCTCGCGGCTTGACTTGCTCGCTCGAGTCACCTGGAGGTCTCTGCCTCTGCTTGCTCTGGGTGGCTTGCTAAAGGCCCCCTGGGTGCAGTGATGGGGGGGCAAACCCTGCCTTGGGAGCAGGGAGGGGGGCTTTGTGGTCTCTCTCGCCCACCCCCAACTACATGCAGTGGGGAGCCCAGATTTCTGCCGGGAGGTTTTCTGCGCAAGCTGTGCGCAGGGTTTGCATTCGTGGATTTGTGTCTGTGTGTTGCACATGTTCACACTGGCATTTGCTGAAGGGACGCTGTGGGGCTTGGAGGCGCTGCCCTGCAGCCCTGCCTACCTCGCAAGGCTGGCGTTACCCCACAATGAACAGCAAGGGCTCAGCCCTCCTCCTCTGGATCTGGAAAACTGGAGCAGAAGCAAAAGCTTCCACCATCCAAGAAAGACAGAAAAATCAAATTGTGATTCCTGCATTGTGGCGGGTTGGACTAGATGACCCTTGGGGTCCCTTCCAACAAGCCTATGATTCTGAGTAGTCAAAGGAGGCTCCCGACAGAGAAAGGCATTCACAAACACACATGCACTGCACAGCCTCTGACCCCCCCAGACCCCCCTGCCCCCCTCGGTGCCTGAGCCAGAGTTCTGGGGCCCCTGGGGCCCCAAATTTTGTTCGGTTGCTGCCTCCGACTGGGAGGGGTGCCCCAAGTTGCCCAGGCGTGGTCTGGAGTTTGGTCTGGAGGAGGGCAAGGCCTGGCGCAGCCTCTGCCGCCTTGAAGGCTGCCCACCCACCTGCCGGCCGCGAGGAGTGGGCTCGAAAGCCACAGGGTGGGTGGGGAGGCCCAGCTGGGCCCCAGCTGCTGCCGGGAGGGAGGTGGGCGGCTGCAGCAGCAGCAGAGCGGCGGAGCTTGGCTCTGGGAATGTGCCCGGATTGCAGGCCCC